AGCCCTTCCTGCGGGCCACGCACAGCACACGCTGGAGTCACCAGCAGCTGGATCCCAGCGCTGCCGAAGGAATCTCTGGGAACAGACTCTTCCCACAGGTGGCTCTTCCAGGCTTTCCCTCCTGCCCCGCTACCTCCCAGAAAGGCCTCTCTGTCCTCTGTGGCGCGGCCCATAGCGGTGGAATCCCTTCTCTCCCTCAAGAGCATTATTTAGCGCAGATGGGCATGAGTTGTGAGCCCTGCTCTCAGGCCCCAGTTGCGAGCAGCCAGAAAGTCTTCCCTGGTCTCTAACCTTACTGCGCCCGCTGCAGGCGACACCTCCCTCCCCAGTACTATTCCACGTCTTCCTGGCCCCTCTTCCTGCAAGGCAGAAGCAACACGAACTGACTTCAGAAACTCTTAGAATGACAGTGCAGGAAGGGCCTGCAAATCGGCAACTAACTTCCCCAGGTGACAGAGGAGGACAGCAGGCCCAGAGATGTAAGAAATGTGTCCAACGACACCTGGAAAGGAGGGGCAGGGCCAGCCAGGGCTTCTGGCTCTCTACCTCCCACTAAAAAAACAGGAGAAATCTTGAGGGCTGCTCCTGAATTTAATGAGAGATGGAGTAAGGAGCCAAAGTCAGTAGTAAGGATCCAGGGGTCTTGGGGCCCCCAAAACACCAAAGAAGGGAGCCATAGGAGAAGGGAGCCAAGTGGATGGAACCCCCAGAAACCCTGAGGCAGACCGTGCCTCTACAGCCTTGGGGGTCCAGAGCCCAAGTGGAAGGCACAAAGTGTCTCTCACTGGTGAGAATGGAGGTCGGCTTTGATCTTGGGCTGCCATGTGAGGGAGAAGGAGACTCACTTCTCCCAGCCCAGCCATGTCCAGGAAACACTTGGGCACCGTGCTAGGGGCAATTAAAAGGCAGGATAACCATTCACAGTCTGCAGCTGTTGCGGAGAATGTTCACTCCACACCTGGGGTGGACAACAGGGGCCTCGGGACATAACCCAGCCCTGAACGTCCAACAGAGCGGCCTGCCCACCTGCCCACCTGGCCACCTGCCAAAATCCCCCACCCCAGCTGGGGTTTAGCCACCTGCTCCCCAGCGTCTCAAGACATCCTCCCTCTCCAGACTGCCAGGCTGCTAAGAGCTGGATTTGACTCTGACTGGGGTAACAACCTCCCTCCTTTTGCACTAGGCCCTTCTCTCAAGAATCCAAAAGCCCACTGAGGCCTTCCAGGGATGCTGGTGACACCCGCCGGAGGCTACTGGGCCCCATGACCACTGTCCACATGACCCCTCTCCACACAGCCTTTACTCCAAGCATGGCCTGCGTCTGCTCCCATCAGCATCACCAGAGATGTGCTACCACGCTGGTTCTGGGCTGCCCTAAAGAATCCGAACCTGGGAGAGGGAGGGGGTGGGGGCAAGCCTTGGGAACCTACATTGAAATATATTCCTTTGGTAATTCTGACACAACTGAAAGTTTGCAAACTACTTTCTCACAGTGTCCCGGGGCGGCTGCACTCATTTTTGCTGCCAACCTGACAGCTGTTACAGCTGTGTGTGTGGACACAGTTAATCGGATTTCCTATCTGGCAGCTGTGCAGCAGGGAAGGGACAGCTGAGGGTCTCAAAAACAAGAAGAGGGGCTGAGGTAGGAGGGAATGGGGGCAGGGAAGGCTGTCTGAAGGGACGGGGTATGCAACTCTGTTCCTGAGCTCCCTTCTCCTGTTGGGCTGAAATCCCTGCAGGAAGGGAAACAGCTGACCAAGTGGTCCCCAGTATTTTTAGAAAACAATCTCCTCTCTGAAACCTCACAAGTCCCCCCAAGGCCAGACTGGTCTCTATTGTCTAGGAGCACAACTTGGAGGTACAAAGGCAGGCCTACCACATACGGTTGTGCAGGTTATACATTGCACAAGGGCACCTGATTGAAGGGACAAGCTGGGGCTGAGATCCAGCCCACGGTCCAATTGCTAGGCCATGCACTCTGGCATGAAGATATCTATCTGAAAAAGGGCCACTTTTTAAATTTTGCACATAGGAGCTCTTCTTGTGTGCGCTGGCAGTGGCCCTCCCTAGAGACCTGAATCCGAATCCCAGCTGTCTCTGTGACCTTGGGCAAGTTCCTTAACCTCTCTGATCCTTCTCAATTATACAACCTGGCTATTAATACCTCCCTAGAAGAGGTAAGGTAAGGAAAGCACCTGATATCCCGTCACTTAGTACACTGTATTAATTCTCTTCCCACCAGTCTCACCCTTCCTACCCTCCCCACACCCTACACCTACACACCCACACACCCAGCCAAGCTTGGTATGGTCTGAAGAATGTGAATAAGAATATCCAGGGGAAACCCCAATGCCAATCCATGGCACTTCTCAAACTCCCAATATCCACAGCATCTTTTCCTGGCATCAGCAGGATGCACACCCTCCTGGCTGGGAAAGGAGACTCCTCTTCCGTGCCTGCTCAGAATATCCTGTCCAGTCCAGGCCAGAGGGGAATCCAGGGCTCACAGAAGGAGGCAGGGGATGCCCCGGCATTGCATTCTGGGGAATCCCACCCTGGAGTTCAAGTTCCCAGACTCCCCAAGCAGGGGCCAGGCCTAGATGAGGGGGTGCCCACTGTGTGCTGGGCTGTTGTGGGGGATCCCTCAAGGAAGACCTAAGATGGCACGAGACCTAAGCTGTGACCTGTCCCCCTCCTCAAGCAAGAGCAGCAGAGAGAACCCCACATCCCTCACGGGCTCCGTCTGCCAAGGTTCTGGCTCACCCACTGGGGCAACCATATCTGTCTATTTACCCAGAGGGCCAAGCCCCGGAATAGAGCCTAGGAATCCTGCCATCAGCCCTGGATGCCAGCGCCTCAAGCATCATTCATTCATCCATGTGCCAGGCACTGTGCTAAAGCTGGGAAACGGCTGTGAACAAGAGAGCCAGAGAGCAATGGATGCCCCTAAAATGGGGTTCCATACCTGCTGCTGGAGTAGGCAGAGACCACCCCGGAAAGCCCCACTCCCCAGCCCCTCAGCTGCAGAGGACTGGCAACACTCACTGCCCAGAAAGCATCCCCGGACACCTGCTCTTTCAGCCTCCTGCTCTTGCATCCTGTCAAGACACTGGGGGGAGGAAGGGAGACCAGGGTGCCTGGGCCCTCATGGCCATGTTTATCCAGGGTGGAATTTTTTTAACCCAAAGGTTAAAGTGTTTCTATTTGAAACATCTATTTACATTCCAGAGTAAAAAAAAACACCCAAGGCCTGCGAGCTCCCGGCCTATATCTGTCCCCAGCCGCGTCACAGACACGGCATCAGAGCTGCGCAGGGGAGAACATTCTTAGCCCTCCCCCCGAGCCGCCGAGGTGACTCACACCTCCCCCCTGCCAGCATGGACCACGCCACCGCCACCGCGCAGAAGGCTAGGCAGAGTGTGTGCCGTGGGGGGACGAAGGGGAGACAGGGACCTGGAGAGAGAGACTGGCGGGGGGGGTCTATGCAGGTACAGGCAGCCTTAGGGAAGAGATGTGGGTAGCGGGGGTCCAACCTGCAAGGATTCTGGGGTTTAGCTTGAAAGAAGGTGAGAGAACATGCTGAGGAGGACACCTCAGTCTGACCACCAGCTGCTGCCGGAAGGCAAGGGACAGTGGGAACAGGGCAGGAGGGGTGAACGGACAGGGCATCTGCCAAATGGGGTAGAGCTGCCCCCAAACAGATGCTCTGCAGTCAGTCCTTTACTTTCCAAGAGACCACCTTGCCTGCCGGAGGCTTTGGGATAGGGGTCAGCAGGTAGGGTCTTTAGCCAGAGCTATCGACTCAAGTAGACCAAGACTAGGCCAGCCCTCCATGGTTACACTCCCTCCCAGGGGACTGTGTAGGGACTTTGCAGGGCTGGTGCCCAGGGTTGTGCCCCTACCCTAGGAGACTACATGGGCATCCCTGCCCAGGCAGATGGCAAGCCTTATTCCAAGGGTTTTCCAAATTTTGCCCAAACAGTCACCCTCTGACACATCTCAATTCAGCTGCAACCTTATCCCTGGATGGTTTAAAGCCAAATCACACCAGCTCCCACCTTCCAATTCAAAGCCTGGGACCCACGCCCACGTACCCAGAGGCAAAGACTCCCCATACATACACACACGGACACCCACACCCAAGTGCCAAGCCACTGTCAGGAGGGGCCAAGCGGGCGTGGATCCAGCAGGCCCCTCCCTCGAGGAAGCATCTTGTGGTGCCGGCCTGGTGGGAAGGCTGTGCCAGAAAGGCTTTGATGCTGCCAACAGGTTCCTGGGAGGGAAGGAAGGAGTGGCCCAGCTTTAGGGCACCCCACCCCCAGCCAAGAGCCAAAAAAGTCCCTGCTGAGAAGGTGGCGGGGCTAGGGGGTCCCAAGCCTGTATGAAGGCATCTCTTTGGCCTCATGTGATGGGAACAAACCAAGGCCTGGGGGAAGGAGGAATATGGGGGAGCAAAGACCTAAGGCAGCAAAGGCCCCGATATCCCAGCTGCCAGCCTCTGCCTAACTCTACACAGCTGCACAAGCCTCCTCCTTAGGTGTCTGATTCCCAGGGGACTCCTGACGAGGGACTTGCAGAAATCACTGCAATGGACCCTCTGCTCCTCAGAACCCAGCCAGAGGAGCTAAGGCAGCCTTCATTTGTGTGCACACTCAGCTATGGCTTCTGCCCGGCCCAGACCTGGGGGGCGGGCAGCCTGGAGGCAGGTCACTGACCCACTTCCTCCCCTCTAACCATGGTGCCAACTAGGCCAGGATCCTCTAGCAACCCACAGCCCCAAGCAGGCAAGGCTGACCCTGCTGGAGGCCAAAGGGGCTTGAAGAGATGCAGCACAGTGCAGCCGAAGGGAGGGCAGGAAATCCCACCTCCCTAACTACCATATTCTCAACACAAAGCCCCTAAGCAAGACCCTATCTGGGCGAGGCTCAGAGCCAGATACTCAGCCCCAGAGACAAGGATGCCCTATGGCAGAGGACAGGTGGGATCACCGAGGCACTTACCTGCCACAGGGATGCCGTGTAGAGGGGTCCGAGGCAGGATTTCCAAGGATGGTTCCCGGCCTGACATCCCATCTGCTGAGAAACAGGATTCCGTCTCATAGATGGTTTGCAGCATCTCCACGAGCCCCTGAGCCTTGGGCACCAGCAGCATGCCAGAGAGGGGGCCGCCAGAGGCGGGAATCAGCCAAGGGGAAGGTGGTCGGGCAGGCCCTCACGGCTCAAGGGCTCCCTCAGGCCACTGCTGCTGGGACTCGCACTTGGGGAGGCGCCTCAGCCTCATCCGGCCTGGGCACTCCTGGCAGCAGGAGGAGCCAGGAGGCCCCAGAGCTCCAGGCCCAGCTCGCCCTAGAGGGGCATTGGACCACCGGCCTGTCCCCAGCTCTCAGGAGCTGGAGTATGGCAAAGCACTCAGGGGACAGGAAGGGGAGCTCAGCAGGCAGGCGGGCTCTGTGTTCCCTCCCAGCCCTGGGTGACAGCTCTGGGACCGGCTCCGTGCTCCTCCTTCCCGAATGAGCCGCCGGCAGCTGGCAGGAGACTGAAATAGCAGTTGGGGGAGGGCCCTGTCTATAAATAGGTGGAGCATGCTCAGGGAGCTGCAGGCTGGCTGCCAGGAGCCAGGGCCTGGCGGAGGCCCCATGGGGGGAGGCGCGTTCCACCCCAGGAGGAAGCGCCAGGCAGGGGGATGGGAACAGGGGAGGGCCTGCACTCAGGGCCAAGGCCACAGAGCCTGGTGGCCAGAGGCTAGGCTGGGGAAGGGCAGCACCGGAGGATCCATGCATCTGGGACAGCTCTGGTGCTGTTCTTGGCAGGCGAGGGGCTGGAGACCAAAACACAGTTCCATCCTCTATCTTCCCTCCTGCATCCAGAGCATGTTTAGAACAGGAGAGGTCTCCAAGAGGGCAGACAGGGCCACCTGGCCTAACCTTGCATCTTTCTTGGAGTTCTTCTAAGAGCCTGATAGAAGTTTGTTTAACTTCTGCTCTCCCTCAGAGCTGAGAGGTGCCTCTTCAGCCCCTCAACCAACATGGAGACCCCTGGGCAGCAGCTAAGTGGCAGCTTCCTTCAACATATTGGGGTATCACCTCTGGCGGCTGCTCTGCTTCCTTCTAGGGGGCAGGAGACTCTTCCTGGACAGGACTCATCCCCGCCCAGGGAAGGGGACCTGGGCGCACCTGCCCATTCCCAGAGCACAGGTAGTTTCTCCCCTGCAGTGTGCCAGGTGGAATGCTAACAGCAGCACATACATCACCTCATTTATTCTGCATGATGACCTCAGGAGATAGGTGCAGATGGGGAAACCAAGGCACTGAGAGCGGAAGTCACTCACCCTTGGTCATATAGCCGCTTAAATGGTAGGGCTAGACTGCTTAGCTCTAACTGCCACAGCCCACTGCCGCCTGCACAACAGAGCGAAGCTGTCCCAGGGTTTCTGTTAACAGGTACCCAGGGAGGAGCAGACTTGAGGCTGGAGGCCCTCTAAGAAGAATCAAGAGGCTGCCAGCATCCAGCCTTCCTCACCAGTCCCAGACCTGACAGGTCAGCTCCTGTTCTGGGGTGCTGCTGGGACCTCGGGCTGGTGCCCCGTGAGAACTGGCGATACCTACCTGCCCTGCCCATTGCTGGCCCATCCCTTCTCCTCAGACTGTGCCTCCCACTGGTACAGAGATCCCACTTGGCCCCCTGACCTCACTGGAGCCTTTTAATAGCCTGGTTATTCCTGGGTCTGTGTCCCCCTCCCCCTTCCTGATGTCACAGTTGCTATTTTGGAGCCCCCTCCTGGCCCCTTCTTGCCCCCGACTCCAGGCATGGAGCCAGGGACACCTGTCCTCTCCCTGGACTGGATGACCTCACCCTCTTGTCGGGAGTCCGGGGGGAGCTGGCCAACCAAGGACACAGTGGCTGTGGGTCCTGAAGCCCATCTTCCCACCAGCTTCTGCCAGCCAGGGACAGCAAAGGGGCCTCCTGCCTCAGGTGGGGTGCACACTGACAGGGCAGGTGGCAGAGGTGGGCATTCCCAGGCTATATAGACTGGCTGGCAAGATGTATATTTGGGGGGCAAGGGGGAACAGGACCTAAACAAATATCTGAAGCCTCAGCTTCTTAGCCAAGGCAGGCTCTAGAAAAATGGTGATAGAGCAGGACCCCCACAGGGGTCTGAAATTGGTAGATACCTCAAGGTAGGTCATGGGACCTTGTTTACCACCCCCAACCACAAACTCATCCTAGCCAACCAGGTTCTCTAAAAAAGAAGGGAAGGCCAAGGTCTCCTCAGTGGGGTGACAGGGCAGCAGACTCCAGGGAGCCCAGAAATAGCCCCTCCCAGCCCAGGACTCCACCCACCCACGCTGGGAGCAACCGGAAGGGCTGGCTGGCCCTGTCCTGGCTCTCTTGCCTGCCCCAGGCACGGGAGAGTAGGCAGGGGAGCCCTGTTCTGGAAGAGAGGAAGTCACCAGTTATGATGATTCAAAGCAGGGCCTCCAGAACCCGGAGCAGCCAGAAACCTAAGGAGAAAACCCTCTGCTTAAGGAAGACAGGAGCACCCAGGAGACTGGGCATCCAGAAGTGGCCAAAGCCAGGGGCTTAGGGCAATTCCCAGCACTGTTATGATTTACAGTAACAGCCAGAAGTGGGAAGGGAAGTGTCACACACAGCCAGACAATCCTCAGTGCAGTTCCAAGGGAATAAGAGGGGAGGACTGGGATGGAAGCAAGTGTCTTTTTTTACTTCCGAGATTCAAATGATGCCACAGTATCTTCCTAATGCCTAACCTTAATCCTTCCTGCTCTATAGCCCCTTTCCTTGTGGTTCATGTCTCTCCTGCATCCCCACTCACCCCATGTGTCACCCTACAAACCTTGCAGAGCACCCACAAAACATGGGGTATATGAGCCTCATCCGGAGCCAGCACCATCCCCTCAAAAGCACAGTGACCTTGTTCCGTCCCTCGGAGGCTTAGGGTCAGGCCTCCTAACCCCCTACATCTCGAGGAAGGGAACCCACTCCTGGCTCCTTGTGCTCCTCCAGGCTTCCTTGTCCTGGACCCCAAGACTGGGGTGGGGCCTGACCCAGAGGAAGAAAGCAAGGTTGGCTTTGTGTACAATACGAAAGCCAAGGGCTGGCCCAAGAGCACCCCGGATGGAGTGTGGGGTGCCAGCTTCCCTGGGGTCCTAGAGACATTAGGCCCACCTGCCCTCCAGTTTCCTCCTGCCCTTTGAGCCCAGTCATGCTGGAGCCCGCTGGCATCGCCTGGGAGCTGCCATATGCCAGGTCCCATGCTAGGTGCTGGCTGAACCCTCTCATTTGAAACCAAGCCCAGGAAAAACATAAACACCTACTTTGGCATCTTCACATCCCCTCAGGGTTGACCCTGCCTCCTCCCACCATCCCATCTGAGCCTTCCATCCCTTTGAAAGGATGGAGCAGGGAGGAGGAAGTGGAGCAGACCCGATCTCTAGTGAGCACAGAGGTGTGCTGGGGGCTCCTAAGTGGAGAAGTGACAACAGGAGTCCACTTCCCAGACCCCCAGCGAACACTGGCTCTGACCCACTTTCTCCTCCTCAGGGCTGGCTCCTTCCCCAGGGGCTGACAGGCAGAGCCTGAGCTGGAGACTGGGAGGCAGGACGCCGAGGTTCCTGGCTCCACCCCACGCCCATGCCCCAGTTTCTCTGGTCACCCAGAAAGGAGGGGGCAGCTGCCCGCCCTCCCTCCCTCCTGGGAAAGGGAAGGAGAGAAAGTGTGGAGTATGCTGGGAGGTGCTGGGCAGGCAGGTGTTGTCATGAAGCTTGTCTCCCTCCCACGCTGCGGATAAGGAGCCTGGCTGCCTTCTCCTGGGGCCTGTCACCATCTACACTGGCTCGCATGGTGCGCCTCACTCCTGCCCTCTCCTCTAGGCAACAGCAGAGAAGACAGGGCAGTGACCAGAGCAGGCCTACGTCCCAGGTCTCGGGTCAACCCCAGGCAGGGGGCAGATTCCGCCAGTCCTTCAATCCCACTGAGGGCAGCAAAAGTGACCAGTTCCAGAAAAATAAAGAAAGCCTAACTCCTCAAGCGCCCTTTTTCCTGATGAGAAGCCAGACACCCGGGAGTGGACTCCTCAGGGAAGCGGGCAGCCCCCTCAATGGGCTCTGCCTTTACCCAGGTGACATGCTGGCATTTGGCCCACCCTGGAGGCAAGCTGGTCAGCTCCCACTACCTACCCAGGGAGGGGAGTTAAGGCCCAGAAGTAAGCAGCCTTGAGTCTCTACCTGCCGCCCCTCACCCAGAACTCCCTCTCAGTGGCTTGTTTGCTAGGAGAGCAGAGATGAACCACCTTCTATTTTTCTCCTGTTTTCCCACAGGCTGAGCTCAGGGTCTCACATGTTGGGGGTAGTCAGCAAGGACTTATCAAATAGGAAAGCTCCTGCACTGAGAGAAGTTCAAGGGAACCCCAAAACAGTATTATTCTGTGTCCTAAGGAAAGAGGAACGAGTCTTTGGGGATTTGGGAGAGGGTGGGAGTGCTCAGGCCCTGGGGACTAACCACTGCCATCGTGCCCACCTCCCTCCCAGCCTTGTGGTCCCTTGCTCTTCCTGGGCCTCTCTGAAGGGCGTCCACAGGGGAAGGAGACACCACATGCTCCAGCTACAATGCCTGCTTTCATTTTACTTCTGTGAAGTCCAAAGGCACATGGTATCCAAGGCTCTGCCTGGCGCAGGGCACCTGCAGCCCCACCCAGATGCCACCCTGAGCTCTGGGATTAGCAGATGCCAGGCCCCTTGAAGAGGACGAGCTGTGTGGAGGTGGCTGTCCCCGGAGCAGCTCTAACCACAAGTGGGAGAGCCAGTCCTGGAGCCCCAGGAAAACCCAGCAGGAAGGGCCTCAGGGGGGTGCTCCCAAGGAATGACCCCAGTTCTGAGGCCTCTCCATAGTCCTCAAATGAGGTCCCCAGTCCCTACTCCCCTCCTTCTCTCCCTCCTTCCCAAACACGAGAAGACAGCATCTCCCCCTACTGGGGGGAGCTGGAAAGCCAGACAGAAGGCACAGCCGTTGTATAGGCCCCACTCAGGAGGCTCCTCCTGGCAGGGCTCAGCAGCTCCCAGGCTGCCAGCCTCCTGGGCTGGTGGAAGCCCCCAGCTACTACCACACTCCTGCCAACCCTGGCAGAATAGCTGCAAGGGGAACTGGGACCACCAGAATCTGAAAAGGCAACCCAGTGACCTCATCCATCCAAGGTTGATTATTTTACCCTTTTCTTAAGGGAAATGTCCTTCCCAAGCCATCAACAGATACCTCTGGGCAGCTCTGTTCCCTTGGCCACGGCTTAGACCCCAGGCCTGGTGTGACTAGAGATGGCTCCTGGACAGGTCAGCATAGTAGCCCAGATGGCACTCCTCCCAGGCACAACTGACCCTGCCAGGGGGCAGTGTCCAGCTGAGATGGGCAAGGGAGTGATGAGAACCCACCAGGCTCTCCTCTCCCTTCACCAGCCCAGTCTCAGGGGAGGAGGCAGGAAGTCAGAGCTCAACAGCCTACCCTCCAGCATGGGAGTCACACACACCTCTCCACGTCTAACAGCTGGCACGGCCCCTACAGGTGCAATGAAGGCAAGGGCAGAGGTGCGAGGATCTGAGAGGCAAGCACAACTCCCGAGGAGGGGGTCATCAGGCAGAGCTGCCTGGGTGGGTCTCAAGAGTGCAGCCTCCTCCAGCTGGCACTCCCCTCTGCCTGCAGCCTATGCCCTGGGCACGTGCTGGGAAGGGAAAGGAAGGAAAGGGGGCGCAGCCTTGACCAAAACAAATGGCACAAAGCCAAACATCCCCACCAGCCTCCAGTTTCCCTGAGTCTGCTGGGCCCCCAAGACCCTGCTCAGGGCATCTCCCACATATCGTCAGCACCGGGGCCCCACAACAGAAAGCACTAGTCCAGCAAAGTGACGAAGAAGAAGGAGAGGAGAGGGGCCTGGGCTCCTCCTTGGTGCTGCTTCTGTGTCTCCTGTAAATGGGTTTCATCTCTAGTTTCCCTAAAGAAGAAAAAACACCCCTCCACCTCTATAGACCAAGATGTGGGGCACAGGATAGGCTTGTTGAGCAAGAAGGGCTCTGAGCCTTTAAGACTGCACAGAAGACGGCCACGGAGAGAAGGCAGTCATTACTTTGACCACACTGACCCATGACCCTCCTGTGAAACTCCTGAGGGTCCAGCTCAGGCCACTTGGACACATCCGCATGGGCATACACCCAGACCCACCCACACAGAAAGCTGCCTGGGTCCCACCCAGAGACTATTTCTGGCAGCATGAGGCAGGCTCCTAGGAGCGGAGAGGAATAGGAAATCTCAGAGTCAAAGACCCCACATTAGGAATCTACCACGTCTAGGGCCCAAGAGGAAAAGGGGTGGTGGACCTGACTCAAAGGAGAGAGCCAAGAGTCTTCTAACCCACCCCAATACCACACACCCCAACACAGACCAAGGCCAAAGACCCCGCAAACCTCCCCTAAGAAGAAAGTATGGGTCACAGAGAACCATGCCACCAGGAAGAGAGCCACCACCACAAAAAGGAAGCCTGGCATTCAGCTATTGTAGGATCTTCTTCCAACAGCATCTCCAGGCCGCCCAGAGAGGCTCAGGGCTCCACACCCCCTCTCAGGCCTTGGTGAACAGGAGCTAAAACTAAAGACCCCCTTGTTGAGAGGGTAGGCATGGGGACAGAGCTGGACCCATGCCCTCCAAGGGCCAGTCCAGACTGTTGACCCATCGATTCTCAGGTGTAACCATGATCAATAACTTCAGGTTCACCTCTGTCCTTTTCTTGCAATGCTTCTCCACTCCTGACCTCCTTGTTCCCTTACAGCTCAAACTGGCCTAGACTCTCAACATGCACAGCCCATTGCAGCCAAAGCCACCCGGGGTGCCCTTCTCCAGCCTCCCAGCTCTTACCCGACTCGGTGGGAGAGTTCATGCCGGCTCTGGGCCTGCAGGAAGCTGGCGCTGGGGGCTGGGACGGGAGGGAATGGAGCTGCGGTGATGTCAAGAAAGACAGACGATAACAGACAGACGGACGGGACAGGAGCCCGGGGCCGCTGTGCCTCTAATGCCCATCCGAGGCCATCCTTCGGGGCGAGGAGGCAGTCAGGCACTCAAAACGGCATCCCTGGGGAGAGAGGGAGCAGGGTTAGAGGTCCCCAACTCAGGAATCTGGGAGTTGAAGACCTCAGAGCTTGTCAGTTTACACCTGGGGAAGAGAAGGAGGGACAACTGCCCAGGGGCACAGAGGAAATCGGCAGAACTGGACCCAAGCTTGGTTTCTTCTCTTTCTAACTGGTGAGGCTGCCAGCACTCAAGGGAGGGGAAATGGCTACAGTCGTCCCTCCCAAATAAACGCCTTTTCAAATGGCAGCGCCCACTGCCAGGTGGAGAGACCTTATAGACTCCCAAGGGCCCCCAAATGGGACTGGATGTGCACAAAGGAGACAGTGCAGGGAGGCTTTGAACTCTGTCCACAGCCGTGGGGAGACGCAGGGCTGACCCGGAGTCCCTGGTTACGGGAGAAACTGGCATCCCAGCCCCGGCAGCCTGAGTTGGGACTCTCGGGTGAGTGTCATCTCCTCCGACTCTCTAATCCCTGTGCCAACTCTCGAAATGTGAGGTGCTTCTATCTCGGTCTCCCCCACTTAACGACTGGTCAGGGAAAGAGGGAAACCCTCTTCTACACATAGCCCACGCTGTTTCCCGGAATTCGGAAAGGCAGAGGTGTTCACCCCACATCCAGCGCCCCCCAGACTTGGGTCCAGGGCCGAAGCCCAGGGCTCTGTGTGTGTTGTGCAGGCTGTGCCCTGTGCAGGGTCTGAAATCCAGCCTGTAGTCTCCCTGCCAGGCGATGGGTCACCCAGGCTGAGTCCAATCAGAATAAGAGACACATTTTTCCAGTTTGTACAAAGGCACCAAAAGGCCCAGCTGTAGGGTAATATAGTAATAGAGGATGTCCCAGTATTAAAAGACCATGAGTTTGACAACCTGTTCCCACTCCTCCCAGAGCCAGTCCTCAAGCCTCCGATACTACACACTCACCCACCCCTGAGCCCATCCCTAAACGGGCCATGTTCCACCCCAGACATGATCTCATTCATTTTCTTCCAAATGAAGGTAAGCCCTCTAAAACCCAGTGAAGTTGAGGTAGCAGGAAGCGATCAGAGGAGGCTGAGAGGTGCTGGGTGTTTAAGCTCTAACAATGCTCCCAGCCAGGAACAGGCAATCAGCCCTGCCTCTGGATAGCCCCTCCTCCTGGCAAGAAGAATTCTCAGTAAGCCTTGAATTCTCATCAAGGATTCCCAGGAGTAGGGTCCATATGGAGCAGAATAGCCTTGCAGTCAGCCATGGCGGGGACACAGAACACACACACGCACATGCACACATGCCCATGCACGCATGCACACACACTAGGAAGACTCCAAGTCTTCATAGGCCTACTTGCTGCTTGCTCTTACCCACAGGGTTTGGACTCTGTAGCTGGAGAAAGGTGCACGCAGATTGGGGAGGTGGGAGGAGGCAGAGTGAAGGGGCTGAATGGCTCTCAACAGGCACAGGTGTGGGGCAAGGACAAACGAGGCTGTGCAGGGCTGGGGCCAACCTCAGGAATGCAGCAGGTGGAGCTGCTGGTGCTGTGGCAGGGCCAGCGTGGGCAGGCAGCTCAGCCCGTGCCCAGC